GCGGGTCCAGGCCTTCAAAGAGGATGCCATGCCTAGGTCGGCTCAGGGTGAAATTGGCTGAACATCCTCGAACCAAGGAAAATCTAGTCTGCATGATGAGATCATCTTCGTTTTTGTTGCTGTCAACTAAACACCGAATTTACGAACCACCATGTATGTGGTTGTGTTCCTGATACAGTTAGCTACTGCTTTTTTTTCCTATCAGTAAATCCTATCACGATAAATCCTATCACCTGGCATGGTATCTATCCACTTGCTCTACCAGAACAAGCCTGAGTGCCGTCACGTCACTTCATTTTTTGTTGTAAACAATGATAGATCCAGCTCTTCATAAACCACCCCCAAGTACACCATAGCAGGTGGTAAGCTCGCCATCCAACAATCATTCACGTAATGATACTATTCTATAATCATGCACTATGTAGCCCATTTCAACACCCATTATACTGATCATACCCGCAGCTATGTCCATCCTGACCCGGGTCCCTTTTTGGGTGACTCCCATCTACCCTAAACCCTAAACCCTAAACCCTAATCCCTAAACCCTAAACCCTAATCCCTAAACCCTAAAAACCCTAATCCCTAAACCCTAAAAACCCTAAACCCTAAACCCTAAAAACCCTAAACCCTAAAAACCCTAAACCCCCATCCCCACCAGCTCCCAGCTACAAATGCTCGGGCTTCGTTCCATGCAGCAGCAGCATCTCGTTCTTCGAGGCCTCCAGCGGCTTGAGAACCTGGGTAGTTCCCAAAATGAGGGGTAACTTTTTGGCAATTCCTATAATAAGGACTGTAGTACTTTGGGGTCTATATTAAAGTCCACCATTTTGGGAAACTACCACCTCTTCTTGGAGTCCGCAGAGCTTGGAGTCCACCAGCTGCTCCTGGCCCGCACCCACAAAGATTCCCTCCGTTTTGGTCACTTGGAGGTAGATATATGTACATGTAATATGTGAATACAATGGCGTTGTTCAAGGATTATTTACTTGTTTGTATCTTGATATATACGTGCATATTTATCATGGATCTCCATATTACATGTCCGTATGTACGGATGTGCATATGTACGTATGCACGTAGGTACACAGGTATGTAAGTACGTACCTATGTACGCATGTACGTAGGTATGTATATCTATCTCTCTATTTATCTGTATATCTATGTGTATAGATATATATATATATACATATGTATATCTATATGTATAGGAAATATTTGTACATGAAAATGTACATGTACGTGCATATGTACATGTATATGTATATGTACATGTAGATGTGTATGTAAATGTATATGTACGTGTATAAAACGCAGGGGCCGAGGTGCGCCCCTAAACCGTACATGCATTTGTACATGTATATGTAGATGTATATGCAAATGTACCTGTAGCTGTACATGTAAATGCACATGTAAATGTATATGTAAATGTAGATGTAAATAAAAACGGAAATGCAAATGTAAATGCATATGTATATGTAAAGATATGTACCTAGCGCAACCCATTCTACGGGCCTACGGGGTGGTGGATATTCCCATATTGAAGTATGATCTGTTTCGATAAGGCATTTGTTCTAAATGGCGCAAGTGTACTTGGAAAAGGGATCCATCATCCGCCATTCGTTGACCAACAAATATCCATCGTAAACCGCAGGTCAGTCCGCAAAAGGCATCAACCGGGCATTCGTGAGCCATAAACCAACCACTAGTCAAACGATAGCCATTGAATAATCACTGATTAAGCATTGATTAACCAACTAGTTGGCCATTGGTCATCAGCTGATTAAGCATTGTTAGCCATTCATCATCCACTGATGACCGTTGATTACCCCATGATCACCCAAAAATCAGCCATTGGTTCTCCATGAACTAAGCATTGGTTAACCATTGCTTACCCATTAGGTCAACATCTGTTCACCACGAACCCACCATCAACCCACCAAACTCATCTCCGGCAACTGGAGGGGCCGGTCCTCAGCCATGTCCGGCAGCTTCTTCAGAAAGTCCTCGTAACGCTTCTGCCGCTGCGGATTGGACACGCGCCAAGCGCATTCCACCTGAGAAATGGCAGCCACAGGGCTATGGCAGCTTGAGATTTCAGTCATGGACTATGATCATCCTCAGGTTGAATGTAAGGATGACCTGATACAAATGGGTATCATGGTGAAAGCCATCTCTCAGAAACTTAAACACTCAAAGAATGCAGATCAACACCTAGAGTTCTCAACCAGCTGTTTAGGCAATGCCCAACCTTGAGGTAGTCGTAGGGCCCGCACTGCTCACCTCAGAAAGGTCAACCCTTCATGAAGCGCAGGCCCTGCAGGAACCCCGCTAAATTGAGGGATGTGTTTCATCTACAAAGCATCCTGATTAAGAATTCATTTTGTATCACAAAGGGAAATGCTGCATATTCCTCCTTGGCTTTGGTCCGCCACCCTCCGAAAGAACCTGCTGGGATCTCAGGGCCCGGTCACACTGGTCACGGCCAATCCCCATTTTGGTGCCGAAGGGGACGTCGAAGAGCCTGGCAGTTCCCCTGTAGCATGGGAAGCTGCTCTTCTATGAAGGATGACGTGGGTTACACAATACTAGAGAACCCGCAATTAGATATGTGGTATCAACCTTCCAACCCATGTTAATGACGATGCTTGCAAAACCACTTGAAACCAGTGTTACCTCATGTATCAATGACATCAGGCTTCCACGGCGCTCAAGGACAAAGGGGGGAATCTGACAAATCCTGTCTGAAAATGGCTATGAGAACCCTTGGACCCTGGAACAAAGCCTTCCCTTCCAAGTCTGGCATGCTTGCAAACGAAAACTGGGCAGAAAATTTGTCCCCCAAATTTCACAACTCCTCCATAGTTGTAGGTGATAATCACATCCCCCAACACCCCACCTCTGTAAGTGTCTCCTCGTGATCTCATCCACGACATACTCCGCACTGCCGGGCGTGGCCATGCTGGGAGGGGCCACCGGCTTGGCAGTGGTGAGGAACTCGAAGTTCCCACAGCGGCAGCGGTAATACTTGCGACCTGCGTACCGTTGGGGCGTCCCAAACTGCAGGCGAAACTGGGGTGGCATCTGGTGGTTGCGGGGTCAGCCTGGAAACCTGGTAATGATTCGAATAATAAGGCCAGAAAGCTTGTGCGGATGTTCATCTATCCGTGTTGGGTAATGATTCGTAGTAATCATACCTGCGCCCCATTCATGTTGAACATATCTAGATCTGCAGGTGTAATTAGAAACATTTAGCTGGGGAATGATCAAGATATCAGTCTCACCGTACACACATATGGAAGATGCGTCGAGCATGCAGGTTAAGCAAGGCCTGCTGAAACAGAATCAATCCCTTCCGAAAGACCAACCTTAACTCAACTTCAACATGTCCGACCTGCATTGCCCTTTTGGTTGTGCTCCTCCACTGTCATCACGCGCACTGCCTTGCCACATTTCTTGCAGTTCTGCTCCTCCTGGTTGGAATCCTGGGAAGCCGATGCTGGCGGCTCCCAGTCGGGGGACTCCCATTGGAAGAAGCCACATCTGCAGGTGCCGCTGCTGGCGCAGGTCCAAAAGGATCTGCCAACGTTGGGCGCTTTCTGCGTGATCTTCAAGACACTGGGATGGCCGCAACGACATGGCGGCCCGGCTGCAGACAGATTAGTCCCACCTGCAACTGGAGATGTCGAACAGCTGGACCCGACGACACACAAGGTTCAGCCCAAGAGAAATAAAAACACAGTTTCAAAGTTTCAAGTGGCGCCCACCTAGATCCAACCACTGAAAAAAATCACAGACTTGACAAGTCCAGAACTCGCGCCCCTGGTGCTTTGATCTCCGCCCTGCCACTCCCAGGGCGGCACTTCGAGGGGGATCGCAATTGCACAAAGGCGCGCTCATCTGGGGGAGTCCAACGCGCTCCCTTTGGGCTGTGGAGGGGTCAAGCAAGAAGTCTGCAAATACGCATGTATCAATGTAAACAAATCATACATACCGACTTACTTGTACATCTGCTTGTGTCTCCACATCTTCATGCTTCATACGCAAATGAAGCGTTTGATCCTGCAGCTGACTGGCTAGGTTTAGCGAGCCAAATCGGGATGGCGAGGCGTCCCACCACCATGGAAACAAAACGAAACCAAATTGAAATGTGGACCTCCCAGAGAAAGGCGAGAACAAAGCTCTTGATCCGAGTCGGTTTACCAAACGAATTTCAGGAGATATTGTACCATGTTTGTAACCAATTTGCTCCCGGTCAGTACTATAGGTACTCACGATCTCTTGAATGACAATGATTGAACCAATGCACCATCAATAGTCATCAATAGCCAATCACCAACAGTGTAACCACCGTTAGCTGTTGGCAATCTAAGCAACATACTGGTCATACCATTTGCAGTGGTAAATACATGTGGATATCTCATATGTACACATATTCATATGTATTAATTTGTTCGAGTGGCCGGCATCAGGCTGGCACAGCTCAATTGAAGCCATGGATGGGCAATCCAGTCTATGCCGTTTTGGAGAAATCTAAACAAATGCGCAGCTGCCATGGTGCGATGCGCACTGGAGCCGCCAAGTATTCTGCTAAGCTTATCTGGATGTCTTGGCATGCAAGGCTCGGCGATATCAATTCGCAAGAGCATAGCGGCTGCCAGAGGTTGCGCGAAGATGTTATGTTTGTTCCCTGCTGCCGCAATGCAACTGTGAAGCTCCATGCACGCTGAGTCTCATGCTGCATGTCCATGGGTTTATGGAAGCATTTTGCCCGCTTGCGCAAGGATGCTGCCAAATTGTCCTTCCTACAGTGCTGCTTAGCAGCGAGGGCTATGGTGACATCGACATCGGGAAAGCCTGTTGCATTTATCTTGCACTTGTGGTTAAAATTGTCCTGCTGCAACAGTCTTTGGAACAACCGCATCAGTCGAAGCTTCCCGAAGCAAGACAGCAACAGCAATGCGAAGCAAGCGAAACTCATTGTAGAGCTGAGCAAAGAAATGCTCGACCATCGCACATGACGAGCCGGAGATTATGACATCTAATGCGAAAGCCCAACCGAGATTCGCTCACAAACCACTGCTGGGAAAACATTTGATCACTTCCGCGCAAGTCCTGGGCTTTCCTGTGACGCAGGCACAGGCATCCCGCGCAACCGAACAAATGAATGCAGAACATTCCTCCAGCAGATACGATGCTGACTGTGGCCTGCAAAAAACCTCCAAAAAAAACGAGCGTCCCGCCGCGCCTTGACAATTGACACACGTGTCCAGAAACTGCTCAAATCGGAGCAGCACTTAGAGGCGTGGTTCCTGGCACGGGATCTGGGGAATCTCCCTTCTTCATGCTTTCAACTCTATCAAAGGACTTGTCATCCATAGACAGGCGAGGCGCATGTTGAAGCCCTATCACCTACTCCACTCACTGCCTGTGTCTTCTTGCGGTCCCCCTTCGCCTAACAGCTTTAATACTGCTACCACTACGTCCACTACTGCTTCCTCCTTGACTGCTACTACGTCTGCCTGCACAATTGGCCCAGAGCAACACCAGTGCCGCTTTGTCTGCACCAACACCATGATGGTGGCACTGGCTGTGACCGGTGACCGTGGCAGGTCGTTATCGCTGTTTATCCTTATCCCTGTCCCTCTTCTTGTTTCTGCTGTTGTGGCAACTTTCCCGCCGCCGCCAACACTGTAATCCGTGGTGCTGCTCGCCGAAACATTTAAAAGATGTCCAGCAAGTTGGCGACTGAGCGGCGTAGGTTAGCTAAAGAACAAAGAAGCCAAACCAAGAAAATACAGCAGAAACGCCACAGGGTAGTGGTCACCAGCGTCGCAGTCCTGCAGCGTCGATCTCAAAGATCCTCTTCACCTTGTGCACATGTCAAGGAAGCCTAACGTTGTGCCAAGGGCTGCTTGCTCCCTCCCATATCCTCCCATAAAACCCAGAAGGGCAAAGCATTCAAAAACAATGGGCCGTTTCATCTCTTTCGCCTATGTTCCGGTCGGGCGCGTGTGCACAACGGCTCCGCGCGAAGAACCAGATGGATTGCCAGCGCTATTTACAATTCGTGCACAGCTATGCGCAGCTATGCCTGAACCACTTCTCTGAGAAAATGCCTTCATTCGGCGACGTGGCGTCTGATACTTTGCTGGCTCAATTTGGCAAAGCTGCACATGTTTGCTCGCAGTTCGAAGACAAAGCCTCTTAATCTGTACAGGCGTGCTATCGCGTACAAATTGCGGCACACGCTCTGGTGGGTGATCTCTGCAAACTAGAAGACTAGGATAGGCTACAGAGCAGCCCACCATCTTTCAGCATCTAATGCCGATTGCTGATCAACAACTGCCTCGGTCAGGAAAATGCCAATGCATCCGCAGCACATGCGCTTTGTCTGCCAAACAACAACCTCACACGGCCAAGATGCTCTCCAGGGCTTGCCTGACCAAGGGCATGTGAAGGGATCAAAAAATACATTTAGATGTGTTTTTGTGTTTTTTATTGGGTGGGCATCCGGGTCATTTTTGGGCCAAATGTGACGATGCTCCATGCAGCTGCTCAATTTTGAGCCGAAATTTGAAGACGTTCCACGCAGAGCTCGATTTAGATTTGGTCTCAAAATTTGAAGAAGCTCCACGCGAGAGAATCAGAATACATAATACTCATTATAATACAAATCCAAGTGATCACCTTCCTTATGAGTAGGACTGTTCTTATGACAGCTGCCCTCTTCTTACCGCCATCACCTGAGTACGTAGACCAAACGAAATTGTACTGTGAGAAACAATGATAGTAGCAATGAACGGGCCAGGAGTAGTGCTTGGAATCACATGGAGCAATGGCAGTAATAGAAGCTTCAGTTGTAACCATGGCAATAATACTATGAAAAAGCATGAGCAGTAAAGAAAAGACGTCATCGCAATAACAGTTACATTCATAGTCGTCATAGCCGTAAGAGTAGCAGTAGTAGCAGTAGTAGC